CTCTCTCTCTCTCTCTCTCTCTCTCTCTCTCTCTCTCTCTCTCTCTCTCTCTCTCTCTCTCTCTCTCTTTCTTTCTCTCTCTCTCGCGCGCGCGCGCTCTGTCTTTCTCTCCACCTTATTTCTTTTTTTTGTCTTTATCTCTCCCACTCTCTCCCTCCAGCAGAGAATAACGTAGCTTTGACAGAAATTAGAAAGCTGCAACAATCAACTGACCGTTGTTTGGCTTTCAGATCATTCATGCGGCTCATGCGTGAGGTTGTGAAGAAAGACATCGCTCCAGAGAAAGGTGTCCGGTTTCAGATCACTGTTGTACGTCCTTTGATGAAGGCTGCCGAAGCATAGCTGGTCACCAATTTTGAGAACACAAACGAGGTGGCCATCGATTCGAGGAGGGTTACGATCCAACTTAAGGACATGAGACTCGTTGATAGGTTGTCGAAGCCTCGTTGGGTTGAGAAATATCAAGGTATGCTGGACGAAAAGGCTATAAACGAGAAAAAACATCAACGGATGGAGGCCAGACAAGTTAGTTGAGATGGCAACAGAGCAGGACCAACGAAGAGGAAAGAAGTGTCACCCATCACACGTTCTCTAGGCTTTTCAGATCTTTGGAGCATGGAGTCGGGGCTTTCTTGCTAGTGAAGTCCTCGGTTTTAGGTCAGTTGCTTCTTGCCGTCCACCCTTTTATGACCTAAATAAATAATTGCATGTACATATATGTGCAAGTATGCCGCTTCGATGACAGACAGATGTGTGCGCATTTGGCGCTGAACCACACAAACGTGGTTACCCTTGCATTTTCTATTATATGTTGACTATCTAAACCTTTTTGTTATGGATGCAGACGAGGGCGATGAAGAGCAGAGCAGCGACAACACAGACCGAAACGAGGATGAAAAAAAGAGAGATGGAGACGGGAGCCTAGGGTGGATGAGACAGAGATGTCACAATTTCCTGAGAGAACAAGCAACAGAAGTGAAAAGAAACGCATCAGAAAGGGAGGTGCTTGTAACACACCCTCAAATGATAGACAACTTATACAAAAGAATAATTGAACGAAAGAAGGTAAGTAAACTCTGCCAACATTATTCCTTAGGCAGGAAGTCACTACTTTAGGTAAGTTGCTTATTGCCCTCCACCTATTTGTGGCCTAAATAAATAGATCCATGTACATAGATATGCACGTATGCCCCTTCGGCGATAGACAAATGTGTGGGTACTTAGCGTGGAACCACACAAACGTGGTCACCCTTGTATTTTCTATTATATCTTAGTTATCTAAACCTTTTTGTTATGGATGCAGACGAGGGTGATGAAGAGGAAAAGCGGAGCAGTGACAACACAGAGCGAGACGCGGATGAAGAAGAGGGAGATGAAGACGGGAGGGGGGCAGATGAGACAGAGATGTTCGAAGACTGCTTGAAGGACATTCTCGCGACACTCACGAGGCTGATGACGAGGACGGGGGGAGCAGTGATGACACAGCGCAGGACGAGGGCGGTGATGGGGCAGACGAAGACGAGAGGGAACCCGAACGTGGCGGCGAGGGGGGCGAATCCGACGCGCCCCCGATCGACAGACAAGTAGTGAGGCACGACAACACAGTTCAAAAAGGTAAACAAAATTTGTTGTAGTTGCTCCCCTTGCACAACGATTACGTGGTAACGGCGCAAAGTGATGGCATTTCCTTAATGCGAGGATGTCGCTGTGATGAACGAACAGTTGAAACGGGCTGTCGAATTTCGCAGGTGCGAAATGCTGAGTTCTTAATATTATTCTGTGCGTTGTAATGTGTGTTTTCCAGCAGATGGCACAAACCCGCAAAGAAAAGTGTGCGCGAGCAGGGGAGGACAGCAACAAGACAATCAAGAAAGCAGCGTATTCTCGAAGGAAATGAAGGACAAGTTGTTCCGGTCGGTCGCAAAAGCCTTTGCGTTCTCAGCAGCAAAGGACGCAACTCTGTACCCGACAGAGGATGAATTTTTCACGGCGCTGCAAATAACGGTCAAACCGATAGGGGAGAACGCGGAGGAAGGACTGCGATCACACGTAGCGGAGTGCGGGATTCGAGTAGTCATAGGGGAGTGCAACCGAATGACGACAACTGTGCGTGGAGAGATAACATGGCAACTGAAACATTGGTTTTGGGCTGAAAAAGGGATCCTGCTTGTATGATCGTAGCAAACAGATTTCCAGCTCCCTACTCGCAACAAGATGCGCCCCCACTTCCCTAAAATCCTGGAACTCCGCCCCCACTTCCCTAAAATCCTGGAACTCCGCCCCCACTTCCCTAAAATCCTTGGCACACCCCTTTTCGCACTTCCAGGCCCACTAACACTCCGAAACAAGAAGTCGCGCTGGGCGTGAGGTTAGTATCGGAGCCGACACGTGTCAAGACCAGAAATTGATAAGTGGCTCGGCTCTCTTAGTTCAACCGACCTGGCGACCCCAAAAAGGGGATGATCTGCGCCAGGGAACGCGTTGGCACGCGAACCTATAGTGACAAGAAGTCGGTCTGCAGGCAGATCAGTTGATAACATGAATGCTAATCAGGCCAACGCTAATCAAGCGCAGGCTCACCAGGCACAGGGAGGAGCAGGTGGTGGCCCAGTACTCGCCCCCCAGCCCGCCCCTCAGCTTGCAAGTGTCCTCGCCCCGGTAGCCTCGCCAGATTTGTATTTGTTCGACCCAACGCACCATCTGGCAGGAGCGTGGCTCGCCCCTCTCCGAGCACAGCAGTACGATAACGACGAGGCGATAATTAATATCCCCGCCCGATTAGGGGGTGATGCCCACCACTAGTTCAGCACCTACGTATGTATTGACCTCCCTACCTTTGAGAAAGATTCCTTCATAGATTCGACTACATTCACCCGGAGCAGGCGTTCTTCATGATCGAAGACAGAGTGCAAAAGCCCCTCGAGTCTATTGCGGAATATCGCAGTCGATTTTACCGACTGTTTGTAAAATCCCAGAGAGACGAAAAGGTAGAGAGATACTTCTTCATAGACTGACTTCGAAGCAAAGCAATACGGGCCAAGCTGCGAAAACAGTTTTCCCCCATTACCTTTACCATGACACAGATCATAGACGCAGCAGAGGAGATGGAGCGAAAATTCACTGCCAATTTCCTTGAAGGAGAAGACCACGCTAAAGAAGGGGATCCCGCGGAACTAACTAGAGCAAAGATGAAATTAACTGCACTTCAGCACAAATTTGAAAATATGGGCTTCGTATCAGAACTTGTCACCTATTTGGAACAAGTGGCAACTCAACGACCCCCCCTTGATCAGGGAGTGGGACCCTTAGCGGCAAAGGCACCGATACAGCTACCCGCCCCAACGGGAAAGGTGGACGAATCGAACGCGATACTAGACCTCATGTGTACGTTACTCAACCTTATGCAGGAAAGCAAGAAGGAGCAGCGCAAGTATAACGCCCGAATGGAATCGCTGATGCGCTCCATGCGTCTCATTAACATTTGCTCGCCCCCCTTCCTGCTGAAGCGCCTGCCACCGCAGCCACGAGGGCTGGTGCGGACACAGCACCGCGAACTGACACGTGTTACGCATGCCATCAACCCGACCACATAGCAAGAGATTGTCCCCAGCGACAAATACGAGTAGGGGCAGCCCCAGTAGCGGCAGCCCCCCTGGCTAACGGACCTTGACGGGTAGGGACGGTAGTAGAGGAAATTGATGGAGTAGGGCCGATAACAGTTGCTACCGACGAGGCCACGGAGCTCATCCCGCTCGATCAGTTCCTCTCCTTGGGATATTCGGGGCTGGGTATGATAGGGGCGATGTAGCCAGCGGATGACGAACGACAAATCTCGGAATGGCGACCATCCCCCGGTGAGATGGAATCCGGTGGCCCCGAGTTCATCACTAGAAAGATCGCTGTGCTCGACATCGTCCGAGCCTTAGATCACCGCATCCCGCTTCCGATTGGACACTTGTTGTCCATATCGGAACAAGCCAACGATCGTATGCTCCAGCATTGCAAGGCCAATCGAAAAAGATTCACACTCACCAAGCTGGCAGCGGCCAAAGGAAAGTCTCCCGCAAAAGAGACAAAACCAGACGTACCAAGAACTTCGGAACCCATACGCCTGGGGCTCATCCAGAAATGCGATCACTTCCTACGTATTAAAGCCATCCCTTGGAAATCCACAGAATGTGACGTGGAAATCTGGGGAGTCCCCTACAGTGCAATACTAGATTCCGGAGCAGCCGTGTTGGCCATATCCCTGCTAGTAGTCGAACGGGCGGGAAGAAGAACAAAATTAATTCCACGCAACGAGGGAGACCGTCTGATCTCCCCAGATGAGGAAAAGATCAGAGTGGTCGGTAGAATGGCAAATGTCGCTTTCCGGATAGGAAAAGTCCACGCCTTGGGAGATGTAGTGGTGCTCAATGTAACCTCATACGATGTGCTTCTCAGACTTCCCGATCTCAACACCCTTCAAGCTAACCTGGACTTCGAGCGATGGGTAGTGGTTCTCAGGAACACCGGTGGCAACCCATACACCATTCCTATGCGTCTCACCCTCCACACGACGACAGGAATGACGCATAAGGATCATCCAAGCGCGATCGGGTCGATCCGAACGATCACATGGCCAAAAAAAGAGGTCGATTCGGAGACGACTAGCGAAGAACAAGCATCGTCGCCTCCCGAAGATTCGGCAAGAGAAGACGAAACGGACCCGGTGATCCAAGACAACGGCAAAAACATTCGTACTTACCGAAGAGAATGCTCAACGAGCCCGGACTCTGTTTATAGGAGAACCCCTGGTACAAGTATCAAGACTGCCCGATTCTTCGGAACCCCCTCGGACCTTGTACGAGGGCACTACCCCATTACTTCCCCGATACATGGACAAACAGTCCGTCTGCGACGTTATAAAGTCACCTCCCCGATCGCTTCTCACCATGGAAAAAGAGATATGGTTGCTGCGTCTAGGGGCGGAGATACAGGCTCCGTAACCCCCTGGGTGCCCCGAAGCCTCGCTGTTTGACGTCGGAATAAAGATCGTTGAGAAATCGGTGGACCCCCGGGACATTGTGGATGGGATAACCCCCGAAGAACACGTGGCCATCCAAGAAGAAGAAACTCAGATGGTGGCCACCGTGTTCTCGTGGCGGTCGGACAATTTTTTCATCTCTTCCCCACCGCCCCGGGATTCAAAAGCAATACGTACCAAACACGTTATGGTCGTCATTCACGGACAACCCTACGAATTACACGTGCCAGAATACGTTCCCGACGGAACCCATAGTTTCATCGCAGAAATCCTAGGTGAGTACCGGGGTGGTATCAGTATTGATGATGCGGATATAGGATTATCTTTGATAATCCAGCATGACATTCAGACCGGTACCCACCCGCCGATTCACTGCAAGCCTTATCGGTACTCGCTGGAGGAACAGAAGGCAGCACTCGAGCGCATCCGTGAGTTCGAAGCTAACGGTTGGATAGAACCCGCTACGGGTCCTTGGTCTTTCCCGGTAGTTTTGGTCCCAAAGAAGAACGGATCGATTTGTATATGCATCGATTATCGAAAATTGAATGATATCACGATCAAGGATGTATATCCCCTCCCTCGGATTGATGATTTGCTGGATACAATTGGGTGTGCTAACTATTTTAGTAAGTTTGATATTCGGCACGGGTTCCACCATATCCTTGTACGAGGATCTATTGACGGTTTTCGGCGCCTGGAATCGGTCACGTCGCGACAATCGTCTTCTTCACTGGGGATCTTAGTGCAGTGGATCTGAGCGCGCATCCAACCATCCTCACCTCGTTAAGAGAGTGGGGCGAGGAATTGGCAGAAACTTGGAGTCAGTCGCTTGTGCGGCGAGGGGAGAACGTCGTCAGTACTAACATTTTTGACGTCAGCGGCATCCGCACTCACCGGCACGAGCCGACAGTTTCTCTTCCTGCGCTCGTCCCTTTCTCACGTCCTCAATGAACCGCTCCCGATTCTCTACCTTCAGCCTCCCCTCTGTCTTCCCTACCTGCTGGCAGTCAGCGCTCCATCCCCGCCTCTCGTTCCGCATACGGCCACTTGCAGTCCCGCTCATCAAGCCTTCGCATTGGGAGATATGGTATGAACACTACTTGACTCTTTCTCTGTGCCTTGTCCAGATTGAGCTGGCATGGACCCGGGACAGCGAGCACCGCGTCGTGAATGAAGATGTGGAGCTACTTATTATCCAAGCTTGGAGGACCGAAGTGGAAGGAGACCTGCGAGGATTCGTCTTTGGAACAATGGCACCAGGGCATCGACAGACGATCGTAGGGGAACTTTTAATCCCCTTCACGCAACTGCTAGACGACCTGCCGATCGACATCATCTCGCACAGCGACGAGAATCCGGTGCCGCACATTCTATCGCGGAGTTTGACGCCGTACCTGCAATGGTCGGCTTGTCAGGAGGATCAATGGGGGAACGGTAGCTCCCCGTCAGGCGCAGAGTACCTAAATCCCAGGGGGATAACTGACGTTCACTTCTTCCAACTCAAAACGAAGTCGGGAGAGGAAGCGGAAGAAGAAGAAGAAGAAGCGGAAGAAGAGGAGGAGGAGAAAACCTTTGAAGAAGAGGAAAGCTACAGTGCGTATAGCGAGCACGAATCGGGGGCGGTGAGTGAAGAAAGCGAAGAGAGCGAAGAAGGCGAAGAAGAAGAACAAGACGGGGCGAGTGCAGAAGAAGGGGCGGACCAAGCGGAAACACAAGAGGACGATCCTGCGGCTGAGCAATGGAGGGCGGAGATAGCGGAAGGAAAGCGGCCCTTAGAGCAGTCGGTCGAAGTAGATCTGCCTATCCCGGACCATCCGACTAGAGATCTCGAGTCGCCGAAGGAAGAAGTTGAGCTCCCTCATGCAGAGGCATCGGGCACGCCGGCGCAGAGGCGGTGAAGCCGCTCCCCCTCCCCTTCCCCTTCCCCCCGTCCCCCAGTTCGAGAACGTCCTGATGCACGGCATCAAGCTTCATCCCCGGTCATTATCCCGCCGTCCCCTTGACTTCCTGACGCCTCGACAGATCGATAACCCGCTCTCCTTCCCCCACAACCCCTTCCCGACCTCCACCGTCCATCACTTCTATGCCACCCGCCTCGTTGCCACGGTGTATCTGCATTCTACCTCCCAATGTGCCTCCCCATCCTTCTCCCTCCACGTTCTTCTTTTCAGTGCCGCATGGCGGGGGCACAACATGATCGAAGTATATTGCACGATCACGGGAACTGTCCCCACCTATGCGAATCATGATCAGTTCCACGCGGCCTTGTTCCGCACCTTCTCGACCCTCTATCCCGACTATCTCGCTTCTCTCCCCTATAGTGGTTATTGATTCCCCCGCATACATCGCACCATCAGGTATCAAGAGCTTCCGAAGACAGTAGCGGGAATGGCGAGTTTCTTACCTCCACTCCTGAGTAACCCTCCCCCACGCCACCCCCCCATGTACCGACTCCCTTTCCCCCTTCCTACCGGTCATTAGAATGAGAGCGGATCTGGTAACGTGTCAACAGGATGACTTCCACACTCTTATCGTGCGGTAATGACACGTGTGATATTGGCGAGAGTTGCAATTCCTTATTCCTTCTTCTTTTCTTCGCGCTTGGGAGGGATATGGGTGCAATTGGGAGCTTGCACAAGATTGGAACCCCCTGGGCGTCACATTTGTGACGTACTATCTTCTGTAATCGCGCGACTTCCTGTGCGGGGCTGCTGTGGGGAAACAGGAGGGCCTTGATGGGTGGCGAGGCGCAAGCGGGATCGGTGGGGCAAGTTACCTGGATGCCCTCGCTTCTTTTTCGTTTTCGTTGGAGTTGTCGGCCGGTGCCGGGAAAGTCCCGCGCCAACGATTAAGTGAGCGCGCCCTAGCGAGCATGAGAAATAACGGTTGCCATAGCTTCTTTCTTGTTCTGCTATGCGCACTAGGATTTTTGGCTCGATCAGTGCACGGGAATTTTTGTTTTTGAAATTCGAACTAATGTCGAGCCCCCGTGGGCTCTTGGAATTTTTCTTTTCAGAATTTTTTCTTGCATTTAGGATTATGACTAGGAATTTAGGCACCTTGCAACTTGGCGGCATGACACTTTTTGTTCGCACATGCCGTGACCCGACAGGGTCTGGGCTCTGAATCCGTTCGCGCCTTAATCCTGTGTGTAATTGTAGTTTTTGGCAGGCGTGATCGCAACTGTAATCTTCTTGTTCTTGATGGCTTTCGTATTCCCTTCTTTCCTGCCTCGTCTTTGCATGCACACTCTCCCTCCGTTCTGAGTGGTTCCCACGGTTGCATGCCCGGATCGATGCGTGGAGAGTGGCTTACTCCCCCGCGCCGCGGCCTGGACGTGCAGACGTAGGCACTCCCTCTTTCCTCTTTCTCATCACTTGGTGTTAATCCCGTATCCCTCGTGCAAGCATGCATGATTATAAATTTCGCAAGCGCGATTAGTTGTCTCTCTAACCTACTTGGGAGTTAGCGCGGTCGAGAGGGTCGGCTAACGAGCAGAAAGACGGTGAGTAGAGAGTCGAGCGATCCGACGAGCTGGCGCTGGGTGCGCGGGGTTGACGCGGGGCCGCGACAGACTGTGGCACATGGGCGAACTTGGCTTGCATACTCAGGCCAAGCGGGGTGACGACTCGGGTTGATGTCGGAGGTGCAGGGCGATGGACTGCCCGCATCGAGAGAGAGAGAGAGAGAGAGAGAGAGAGAGAGAGAGAGAGAGAGAGAGAGAGAGAGAGAGAGAGAGAGAGAGAGAGAGAGAGAGAGAGAGAGAGAGAGAGAGAGAGAGAGAGAGATGGGGATATGGTGGAACAGTGTCTATTCTCAATGCTGTCTGTACAAATTTTAATTTCAACGTTGGTAAATTTTGTTGCGGCATTTTTGAAATTCCTTGGGTGAATCGTCTCGGACCTTTTGCTATATGTATGTATGTATGCATGAATGGTGATGAATGAGCTTGCACCCTTTCTTTCGAGTTATCTCTTTAATCAGTAGTGTTAGCTTAATCCAAATTTCATCGCTTTCTAGACGCATGTGTATCTGTCTACGAATCTTGCCCCGCTCGGACCTGGCCGGACGTACCCACTGCGCACGGCTAGCCCGATCTCCTAGTTCTGACTTATGAATGATTACGGCGATTGCCAGGTGTATATGCTTTGTGAATGTCCAAAAATCTTTTCCTTTGATGCATGACGGTATGGGAATGAGGTTGATTGCCGGAGGGAACCAGCTGCATGGTTGATCCAATATGTTGACTGATCACTCGCTCATTCGCACAGTTTAGGATCTGACCAACTGGCCCGTGCGCATACACGTGTAAGGCAGCGGCCCGTCCGCGAACCTGCCATCTACACGCGCGTCTGCAAAAACCAGTTGCGACCTTACCCCCCCCCCCCCCCCTTCGCCCCTAGAAAGATGTGTGTGCATGGATTCCGTTAAACAAGACATGGCGATAGAATCCCCACTCTGGATCACCGATCGTGAGAGCGTGAGCGACCCAGAATACCGAGTGTATTGGGAAAGGGAACAAATCCGACGGCAGCGGATCCGACAACATCATCACTTACGGAACCCTGAGCATCTTGAGTACCCCTGCCAGGCTGAAAACGAGCGACTGTGCCGGGGTGATTTCCAGTTGGCAATCAACCGAGACCTGCAAATTTCCGATTATCCCGACAGCCGAAACCAGCAATACCTTCTAACCCCAGGCTTCGTTGCTATCACCACTAACTTTCCTCCCTATTGTACCGTCCTCCCTTACCACCGACTACTCGTGATCCCCTGGGATTCCATAGCCCGGTTCTGGCCCCGCCCGCCGTGCTTGGAGTGTCGGCAGCCTGGCGAGTATCGGCAGGTGAGGGCCACTCAACGAACCCACCCGGGGACCAAGTGACAAGCACCCAGCTCATCTTCGTCGTACTCCGAAGCTTGTGACGGTCGGCAGCTGTACGAGCGTTCCCACAACGACACCCGTAGTGCCCCACTTCGACTTAGGCCGTGCGATCAACCACCGCCCCAACTCTGAGCCAAAAGAGACACTTGCACTTCTACCCCTGATCTTGACACAGCAGATCATGATGCCAATTCTGACCTGGAACTCCGTCCCCACTTCCCTAAGATCCTTGGCACACCCCTTTTCGCACTTCCAGGCCCACTAACACTCCGAAACAGGAAGTCGCGTTGGGCGTGAGGTTGGGCATCACACGCTAACACGTCGCCCCATTGGCGGCGTTCGGCCGTTGGGGGATCGCTCATGGGGCCGATAAAATCTGTCTGCTTCGATTGCCAAAACTTGGAGCTGGAGTGACCATGGCGGCGCAGGGAAGAACACTAGGGTGTTAGGGGGGCATGCCGAGGGAGCAGTGATATGCTCCTGGTCGTTGCTGGTCTCACTTGACTTCTGTCAGGAATCCTAGTTCGGTGGAGGAAGGAGAGCGTGATGTGTGGGGGCCATCGGCGGGTGGGATCCGGACGCTGCACCTTACCTTACGAGACCGATTGGGGGTTCTGCCCCTCGATCTTTGATATGGAGGTTTTTGCGGGGGTCTCCTCCCCTGACTTTATTGTCAAGGTCGGCCTGCGAAGGTGACGAAGAAGGAGCTACGGGAGATTGTCGGACTTCTCATGTTCGCTGCACAGCCGGGCTGCGTGGGGATTTCGTTTACGATCTCCAGCAGCGGCGCACATCAACTTCGTGGATTGGGTGTGCTCACCTGTCGTGGCCCGTGTTAGGGTCAGAGAGAGAGAGAGAGAGAGAGAGAGAGAGAGAGAGAGAGAGAGAGAGAGAGAGAGA